GAGAGAGAGAGAGAAAGGATAGCGTGACAATATATTTGAAATATGTACGTATAACGATGTGCACGTGCGAGATGCGTATACGTTTCGAAGCGAGGCGACATCGTTTCTCTTTGCGCTCCACGGTATCGCTTTTGCGCTCGCGCGCATTTTACGTCGTTATCGATGTGTTGCATATTGCAAATTTCATCGACATTCCAGTTTGCACGAAGTGTGGCCTGAAGCGAAACTTCATCGTTGCATTTCGCGATGCGATGCTCGTGTCGCATGTATGATGGTTATGATTTCAGAAGCGACGCGACAGAACGGCGAGAATATCGGAAGACTGATGACTCGTGACATTCTTTAGTTTATGTTACGGGAGCATCGCACTAAAGAAGGGAAGGGCCAAATAAATAACGCTTGCACGTTCTATTATACTGCGAATAAATCTCGACAAAGCTTACAAGTATATTGATTTCTCTTTTAATATTCAATTGATTGGAAATACAAAATCAGTATTAATAACAAAAATTCTATTGGAGAAAGCTTTATCGTGGCAAAATATTTCACAAGTACACAAAAGTATTTATTAATTTATGAAAAGGTTTAGAGAGAGAGAGAGAGAGAGAGAGAGAGAGAGAGAGAGAGAGAGAGAGAGAGAGGCACGAAAGTCGCCTTTTATTTAATGCGACGAATAATGGCGCATTATACAGTCTAATATGCGCATTCGTATGCGTCGGTCATTAGAGATGAAGAGAATCATTCATTATCCGACACGACGAGAGATTTTTCGCAAATCGAGTTTCACGAGTCCTCGAACGCGGCCGCGCTATTGTAACAGCGCTCTCTTCCTTCGCGGCAGCTCTCTCGCGCATCGGGCCATCTTTCTCAGATCGATTACGGCACCGACGATGAGCGGGATCCGCAGGACGTTCGTAACAGCCGGGAGCGCGAGTAATTACATATCCTGCACCAGTCGTTAACAGTTCTGCAATACAAAACCGCCGTCGCGCTGCCTCGATACGGCCTTACAGCTGGAAAAATGCGGAATTTATTCGCCGGCAACGACTAACAGGCGCGAGACCGTTAAAGCCGCAATCTGTTTATCAAATCGCGTTAATGACGACGTACATGAACGAACGATGGCTCATTCAGGCGCGCGTAGTTGAAATGCGAGAGCGCTTTATCTGTAGCATTACGGTTACATTGCGGCTCGAGAAGTAACGTAATGCTTCAATTATATCGTCTTGTGAAAGCATCCTACTTTGCTATATTACGTCAATATTAAGAGATATTAATGATCTCGTATTATGTAATATTAATATTGAAGAATTATAATATCAAGTGACGCCTTGTGCAATAAACTGATTAACAGAGTGCTATCTCAGATATTAATCAGCACAATTTGGAGGTACCAGCGCGTACATATTCTCTCGCCGGCATCGTACGATACTGCCGTAATTTACTATCCCGCCAATTATTGTACTGTCACGGTGTGGCGGAACGCAGTAATTTCCTTGTATTACAGCGCAGAGCACAGTAGCGCAATAATGCACGGTGACCAACGTATCGCTTACGTTCTCCAAGTATGCGTAGACCGCTCTAAGTGGGATTAAAAAAGCGAGATACGTTGTTTCCGCTTTTTCATTTCGATCAACGACCAACGATCGAGAGAGTGGAAGTCGTTTGTCGGACGCCGTCGACACATATAGTCGTGTATCAACAAATTAACAATAGAAAATGGAAAATAAGAAATTTGGCAAGAGCGGCGGACGTTTCGTCACGTTGGCGTCAAATATGAGTTTGGTAAAAGCACGTGTCGCGCTTGAACCACCCTGTACCCAGACACAGTTGGCGCCAAAGTGAATACACCCGAGTGGTGTTGACGTCGGCGGGAGTATCGAGCAAATCCCTGGAGACAATTATTGTCCGTAATGATGATCGTGACAGTCGTGTCCCAGTTGGAGCTCTGCTCACGGATCGCGAGCGAGCGTTCTATTGTTCCTTTCGTTGAGAAGCATTGCTCAAGATATATCCTGCCATTTTTCTTTAACAACGAGGATCCGCGATGAGCCACGGGGGGCGATCGAAAGCTTTGTAGGTGCATCCCTCGTGCAACGAATTTCGGTATTGATAACGATATCGGTTACGGTGTTTAACAGTAGTTTAACATGCGTATTTTTAATATCGCGGTAACAATAAAAAAACGGTTGTTGTTTGAAATTAAATCATGGTATCTATAATGATTGAGTTATACACTCTGTTATCGTATTACGATCGTATCGAACATAAGATAAACTTATTCACACAATAATTATAACTTCCATTTATATCTACAAACGTGGCGCCGCGCGGTTTTGTATACTACGTGTCGTGACTCGCGTGGATCGGCAAAATCTGTTTTATATTTTGAATCCATTGTATCTTATCTCTTTCTTATCGACGCGATCTACATTTCGTGGGGACCACTTTCCTTCGGACGATTTGCCGTCGAGTGTATATTACTCACCTATATTACTCATTCGAGTAACACGATGTCCTTCCAAGCAATTAAAAAGCAAAGAAAGAGAAAGAAAAGTTGTGGAATCGTGGTCGTGCCTTCGGTACTGATCGCCAATCTGCTCGGCCAATCGTGATCGAGAACAGGTTATCGGACAGATGTCGAGCGAGACAGTTTTAGTGGGAGAATTTAGGGCAAATGCCGGCCATACGCCATAATCTCATACGGCAGAATCTTTGCTTTCGCTAAATATCGTTATCTCGAGAGATTTCAACGTTTCGTGCGACGAGCGAAAATACCGATCTTTCTCGCGGCGATTTGAGCGGTGATCTCATAAGATCTCATAAGATCTGTATCTGTATTTGTATCTGTATCATAAGATCTGATCGCGCGAGGAGTAACTTAATTTTAAGTAGACGTCATTAGAGACGACGCAACATCGCAGTGACAGCAGGAGATTAATCGCGCGTGCGCGCGCGCGCGCGCGCGTTCGTAAATCCGTCCCGTCTTGATCGAGTTCACTTTCGTTCACAACGAACATACAGGAAGATGTATGGCCGGCCGATCGAGATCGCGCGATTCGATGGACGACGGTTCGTCTTTTAAATTCATAGCTGAGAAAGTTGCCGGGATCGTGATCCCCTGTTAGTCCGCGCTGCGATCCTTTTACTCGCGTGCCATCTCATAATTCCTCTCGTATATTCCTGGCGTTGAAACGCGCCTCTTAGACGATTTCGCTTTACACATGGGACAATTTTTCACGCGATCGAGCAGTTAATTACGTCCGACTTCCTAATGGGGTTCTTGCTGTCCGCTCGAGGAAACGAGCCGCTGTGCGAAATTCCGTCCCGAATTCTCCGTCGACGATTTAGCATGAACGCGAACATTAATTATTATTCTCGCTAATTATAAAGGCGCAACGCCTTTGTAATTTTATGCGCAACTTCGCTATCATGGGAGGGATTTGTATTAATTAATTAACCGATTACTTATTTACATGTTAAAATAATAGTGAGAGACACAGAAACGGACATTTTCAACGTGTAAGATATGAGACTACTGATTTATCGGCATCGGCTTGAGTTCAGCATATTTTTAGCTTGTGCATTTCATGCTTAAAATAAAAATAACAGCAACATCATCTCGGAAACAAACATATTCGGGATTTCTCGCGTATCTCTTTACAGTCTTTGTGTCGTCGGATGAACGACTATTTCTGCATAATTTCACGTCAATAACCAACTCGCTATTGTGCGAGAAGGGTGCGAGACACGAACGGTTCGGAGAGACCCGTCCGTCACACCCGCACAACAAAGATGCCCGTCGTCGCTCCCTCGCACAGACGCTTTTCCCTCACGGCTTCCCATGTGCGTTCCCCGATGCCCATGGGACCCGCAGGCATCATCTCCCTTCCAGTGGGGGCCACTGGTAAGTCGACCATCGACCACCTCTCTCTCTCTCTCTCTCTCTCTCTCTCTCTCTCTCTCTCTTTCGCTCGCTCTCTTTTCCTCTCCGTCGCTCATTCTCCCTCTCTCTCAGTCTCTTGCTCTTTCGCCGAGCTCCCCTCTCGATTCTCGCAGTCGGCCCCTTAGTCAAAGACTTCGTCTGGCGTCTGGCGGCAGTTCGAAGCGAGACGCCGACACGACGTACGACGAGTATTTTCGTCCTCGTTCTCGCGTTTCGAATCGCGATTTGATTCATCGTCATCGTCATCGTTCTCCACCTCCACGTTCTCGTGTTGCGCGTGGGGCGCGTCGACAGTTTTTCGCGAGCTCTCCTCACGGCGAAAATCGCGCGGTCGTCATTGGCGAACGAGTCCCGGGCTTTGGAGAACGTGCCGCGACCTGTTGCTGATGTGGAGGTGCGCGTAACAGGTCCTCGGGTGTCCTTTCGAGTGGCGGCGACCGGCGTACCGGCTTCCAGTAGCGGCTTTTTAGCGTCCACTCTGTAGACCACGTGACCGGGAACGGCCAAAGGTCCTCTGCAACCGCGCGTCTGAAAAGAGAATCCTCAAACTCAAGCCGAGGCCGGTTAAATTGGACATTGGGTGTTGAAAATTGTCGTGTTACGACGACGATCATCAACGCCGATCAACATCGGTCGCAGTGTGTCTTCGACTACACTCGAAGGATGAGCGACGGTAGGTGAAAATTGAACATTTGCGTGTGCTCGTTTTGCTCGTTTATTCACGCGAATGTCACGGGATCGCGTCAACGGTGAAGGACCGCGAGATTTCTACAGGACCTAGGTATATCGCTCCCTTCCAGATTCCGTTCCTCCCATTCAAGCAGATCGCATTCATCCAGCAGCAGCAGCAACAGCAGCTGGTACATACGCGTATATTTACACATACGCACACACACGCGCGCGCGCACGTTCGCACACGCATGGACGGTCTGGAGAAGAAAGCGCGTCCGCTTGGCGGATCTCGTATCGTTTCGTTGCGCCTTATTTTTCTCGGCATTTATCACTCCGGCGCAAGAAGGCAGTGACGAGACTGTGTGTCACCCTGATGTCGCAGATGCGCTCCTCTTGACCTCGAGGAGGACCGGCGAGGAGGACCAGGACGAGTGGTGAACCCCCGAGATGACGTGACGCGCCGGACGAGCGGAATGCCGGCGCGCTGACGCGGACCGCTCCTCTTCTTCGGCGGATCTCGTTGACGAGATGCGACCCGGACATCGGGACGCCGTCCGGACGGATTCGAACGGTTAGCGCCCGATCAGGTTCTGACGATCGTCGCGATCACGGCCGACTCGTCTCTCTCACCGTGCCTCTCGTAAGTAGAAACGGCCCCGAGCTAGGAATGGGATTGAACCGTGTCGATTCGCCGTGTCGACCGTGAATCTGGATCGATTCAGCGATTCTCGTTGAACAATGCTCGCGTGTTCGCGAGTTGCCGTCTCGCGTGCCGAAGCGCTCGACGTGATGGTATCGTCGGTATTCATCGGTACCAGAAATTGGTTGGTAGACGACCATATTTAAGAATTCGAAAGTATATCTGCGAGTATTTCAAGTATAGCGATAGCATCGAATCTTGTGAAAGCAACTTTCGAAGCTTGTATTTGTCATTAAAGTTTGGACCGGACGATACGTGCCTCGTGTCGTCAAGGAGATCTATATATGTAAAATTGCGTGTTGACGTATCACGTAATTTCCGCAGTTATTTCTGTTTCGTACAGTTAGCGAGAAACAGTTTGTACACATCTCAGAGATCTTATAGCTATAAGTAATAGCGTAATTTATTTATTTATTTATTGTAAATTGTTCTTATTGTGAATTTTATCTTCCCAAATTACTGTTCTACCATTCGTAATGAGGTCGAACATCCCGTCATCCCGTCTCTCTTCTGATGTTACACTCGCGATATACTCGATCCCATTCCTACTCGCAACTTTCAGAGCAACGCGTTTTCTCGGATCTTCTCTTGATGAGGAAAGATCGAAAGTTTTGGGAAATTGGTCGTTTTCTTCTGAAAGCTATTTACTTAACCTAGAGTGTACCAAGCGTCTTTGAGAAATGATGCTGAACTGGTCGGTATGTCTGTGGAAATTAAAAGATACGGTAACTTTCTGGTTACTCTTTAATGTGAAAATTGATCGTGATCTTTGTAATTCGAAGGTGTTGACTTGACACAATTTTCGCTCCGAAACCGTTCATTAAACGTACTCTGCACGTTCTATCGGAACCATATAATTATACACGTAAAGAGACACAAACGCGCGCACATATGCGAATTAGAAACAGGAATTACAGGGAGAAGCGCATTGCGATTATCCGCTCGGATATCCAGCGAATCCGCGTCGAGGACTGATAGCCGTGAAATTGTCGAAATCTCCGTGACGCAATTAAGAATCGATCGCTTCGGCGGTTTCGTGAACGAAGTGACTGCCCGAAGGAATTACCGTTAAAGCGATCGTGACCTCGATTTATCCACGGCGGATTCTGTGTGCAGATCCGTGTTTCTGCAACGATACCCACCTAAATAACCGGATCTGCTATATGTTATTGCATCGAATGTATCGACGACATGTATCGAAGGGCATCGTTACTTTCCATCTTTCGCGCAGATGAGATGCTGATGTATGGGCGACAACTAATCCGTGTCCTGCTACTTAACGCTAATATTACTCGGATCAAAAACAGAGTATTGTGTCGTACATGGCGCGTCGAGAGAAATCGATTCGTCGCATCCTTCATGCAAATCGAGATCAAACGTCGATCTATAAAAAGAAACGAGGTGTCACGTAATGATTTTCGCATCGGCATTTCCAAGGACAGAGTCTAGGATCATTTGTTGCGTGTTTATAATCTTATAAGCCAGCAACTAATTTGCACAAGTATTTATGAGCTTCGTCCAAATGGACCCGAGATCAATTTTCAACAAGTGTATGCGCGTGTAACGTGACGACAAAGGACGATAGAAAAATTGGCGTCTACGTTTCGGTCGATAAATTACCGTGTCCAACGGCGTCTTACGGTCCAAAAATAGGACGCTCTCGATCGTCCTCCGCGTTTTTTCTCGCGGAGAAATCGGCAACCGTGTGCATCTTGTTCCCGTTGTGACGATGTATAAAATTTTTAGAGTAACGCCGCTAATCGCGACTGCACGCTACGAATCATGAAAGTGTGTGAAAGCCCGGGAAAGAGTGAGATATATATATGCGCTGCTCGTTAGACCAATACGTATGCATTATGCTCGTGCTTTAATAACCCAATTCCAACCGTTTTTAGCGACTAGAGTCTTTCTCTCTCTCTCTCTCTCTCTCTCTCTCTCTCTCAGACGCTCGTTCGAACGTGAAACAAGAAGACGAGCCGTTGGTAAGAGCTGAACGTGCGAATTATCACGACGCGTAGCGAATAAAATCGCGATAACCGCGATAAACGTCACACAATTCAGTCGATTTTTAACGAGTTAGTCCAATCAGGAACGGAGAGGAGAATTCAAATTGCTGATGAATCACGAGAAACCGGCAATAAACGCGTAAATGAATGTACGCGAGAAACGCGAGAGAAGATATCGCGGTATTAATCGAGCGATTCTCCGACGAGTGCGATCTCGATGTTTCCTCAAACGGAGGAGGTTGCAACGAGATCTTATGCTAATATCAAATGTTTTCGTAGCTGACTTCATTATCTATCCCATATCGGTTTCATGTCACGCAACGGTTCGCCGACGAGTCGCACTTAGTAATTAAATCGTCGCACGTTTCCTGTCGCTTGCGCAACACATGGAAAGCGAGCAATTAATTCCATAATCGACAAGGACAAGCGAGGATCTTCGCGCGCTAAATCGCCATTTCTTATGTATAATTCACGTCGGATACGGCCGTAGAAAACAGGTTGCATATGCGACGCATTGATACAACAATAATGCACGCTGGTAACGCTGGTTATGGCGCAAGCGAGATATCATCTCTTCTCTCGAGAGAATTATAATAAAGCGGCTGTCGTTCGCGCGAACGTCGACGCAACGCTCACTCCTCTTGTCGCGTTTCCTCCGTGTTGTAATCGTTCATCGTCAACGACGGCGCGTGGACGTCACTATTAACAGATGTCGGACGTTCTTACATTACGAATATCGAGAAGTTGCGACATGTGAGATGCATATGGAGAAAATGTGGAGAAAACGGTTTCATGGGACACCAGTTGCGGCTTGTGTGTTGTGCATTTCGTTCATCTCGCTCGAGCGAGAACGTGCGGCGGATGCGACGAAACTTTCCTTTGTTCGAGATGATTTGGTATCTTAACCGAAGCACTAAAAGAGGAATGGAAGAAAAGTGTTTTCGATACTTTTCATTCGTAAATATCAATCCGCGTACTTTTCTCCGCAACACGATGTTGATGAAACGACGTTTGCAAAGCGGATTTATAAAATACAGCTACGATCAGGGGCATAAACATTCATTCAGTAAATCGAACAAGCGATTGTGAATTAATGCGAATGGCGCGTTATATTTATAACGCACTTTTTATGATTTATGATTATATTCGATTAGCGTCATGCGTATTAGGTCAGTGCCTTCTAATTCACGGAGGCCGACAACTTTGACTCGCTACACGGTTCACGAGTGCAATAACTCGCATAACCTCGTCATCGAGATTCGTATCGTTTTCTCGAACGAAGAGCAAGAGCTGTGCATCGAAGGCGAGTGGCAAATCGTCAGCGATTCGCGACGCGAATAATTTGCGAATCCCCGTTGCGTTTTTCGATAGCGGTGATGGCCAGACGCGTGCAAAAGAAGCAACATGTGCGATCCAACCTGTGACCTCCTGCTCTCCTCTCGGTAACGGTTGTTGTACGACCCGAGTATTACAATCTGGCATCCCCGATAAAGTCGGTCGTGCAGCGCGTAGCAGACGTTAGCGTTGCACGTCGCGCGGCGCACGGTAGTTTCTCAATAAAAATTAATTTCTCGAGGCCGAGTAAACCGGCTGAAATTGTGACAGCAATAGCCGTATCGGGGAGGATATACCGCGAGTTATAGGCACACGTCGCGCTCTTTTCAATCAACGGTAAAAGCCGATTGAAATTTATGCAGTCAGAATGCCGCTCATGTGAATATCGTACGCGAGAAAGACCGCCGACGTAAATTCCAATCAACTCAAAGTAGTGCCGTTATCTTAATATTGGGCTGACTTACAAGTAGACGATCGCTTTCAGATCGCTTTATTTCGTTTGTGTGTGTACTGATTATTTTACCATAGATTTTAATCTATCAAACATTCATCATTATCAGTAATGACTTGCATCGGCGATTAATGAGCGCTTCAGTGATCGAAGTCGACATTCACTACGTTCGTCGGGAGTCATTCGCCGCGATTTCGTCCCGACAAAAGTGTTCGTCGTGAAAGTGGCATTCTTTAACCGGAGAAGGTTGCTATCGGGATACTTCTTCGAATCTCACGTGCAGCGTTATCGTCTGGCTGGAAAAAGAAAAGAAACCATCGACCCCGATCACTGGTTCGTTCGTACTACCGCACGAGACTCGCGCCTTTCCCGCGTCGCGGATGATCGTTCGGATAAAAGGCTGGAGTGGCACCTATGTGTTGGTCAAAATTAATTTCTCGAGACTGGTACGCCGACTCGAATCGTGACAGTGATAACCGTCTTAGAAAGCCGTATCGAAGGATATATCGCGAGTTACAAGCGCACACACAAGTCGTGTGCTCTATGTAGATTTTTAAAATAGGATAGGAAAGGCTTTGCTTGTACTGTGTCGAAGTGTTCTTACAGTTCTTATCACCTATGGTGTGCCGAAAATGATGTTGGCGCTTACCGGTAACGTCACGTTGTTACGTAATATCGGCTCTCGAGCCGAACACAGAAGGTAACTTGGGGAGAGGAATGTCCGTTCATTCCTCTCCTCTTTTCGTGTGGGCTGCTGCTGCCGCCGTCGTCGCGACCACGCGTCAATGCATGAGCATGTCGGTCAAATCAAGATTGCATCGACACGAGAAGGATCGTGTGCAGTTATCCCCGACGAGATGATGACGTACGTGCGGCCGGCAATTTAGAGTGCTATTTGCTTCCTGTGGAAGGGAACAACGGCCTCGTTTCGACATTCAGTGCCGTTAAGTATTTACGTATAACCAGCCTAATTGTGCGCGGGGCACAATGCGAAAAGTGAGTCGGCAAATTAGGTAGGCGTTTACGCGTCGATGTACGCGTCGCTCCTGCAAAGAGAAGGGATGTTAAAGAGGAAGAAGAAGAGCGAAACAAACGGAGCGACATATTAAGGTTGGAAACGAGGACTCTTATTGAAGTGCGACCTCGTC